GCTGGTGACTTTGAGCCAATCCAGGAGATGGTGAGTTCTAGTCCTGTGTTAGGCATGAAAGACAGTTGGGTGACTTTGGGCCAATCACCAAAGAAGACAGTGAGTTCTAGTCCCGCCTTAGCCATGAAAGCCAACTGGGTGACTTTGAGCCAATCCAGGAGATGGTGAGTTCTAGTCCTGCGTTAGGCATGAAAGACAGTTGGGTGACTTTGGGCCAGTCACCAGGAGACTGGGAGTTCTAGTCCGGCGTTAAACATGGAAGCCAGCTGGGTGACTTTGGGCCTATAACCAAGAGACCGGAAGTTCTAGTCTCACTTCAAGGCATGAAAACTAGCTGGATGATTTTGCGCCAATCACCAGGAGACTGTGAGTTCTAGTCCCACGTTAGAGATGAAAACTAGCTGAGTGACTTTGGGCCAATCACCAGGAGACTGTGAGTTCTAGTCCCACATTAGGCATGAAAGAAGGTTGGGTGACTTTGGGCCAGTCCCCCCCTCTCTTAGCCCAACCTACCTCATAGGATTGTTGTCATGGGGAGAACAGGAGGTGGAAGGAGTATTAGATATGTTTGCCCCTGTGAGTTACTTATAAAGACGAGATAAAAATCTAGTAAATCAATAAAAATAAATCAACTAGAGACTGGAGCAATAAAGCATCTGCTTCAACCACCGTTTCCTCACTGTGGTTTAATGGTTAACCCTGTTGAACAAGCAACCTAAGAAATGCAAACTTGATAACGATGTCATCTTTTGACTGGCAACCCCTTGATAACAAAATCCACATGTGATTGATCCAATCTGTTGAGGGACAATGGAGAACATGCAAGTGTTCGTAGCCAAGTTCTTGAGAGTAAGGGTCTCCAACCTTGGGCACTTTAAGCAAAGCTGGCTGAGGAACTCTGGGAGTTGAAGTCCACAAGTCTTAAAGTGCCCAAGGTTGGAGACCCCTACTCTTAACACATTTCCTGAAAAAATTAAGCTCTTTTTCTTTCATTCCTTTGCAGATCCAACTATTTTAACAATAAAAGAAACCCTCACAGCCCCATCCTGCAGCAAACCACACCGAGAAGTTTGAAACTGGGTTACAACAGTTGTAACAATAGTTACAACAGTTGAGTTGTAACTATTTCTCTTTCAGAAAGTAACCCAAGAGGAAGAAAATAAAAATATTTATTTCCCACTTTTCATTCAGGAGCTCAAGCCCTCCCCTCCTGCTTTCCTCCAAACCGTATTTAGACTCTTTACTTTCCATGCCAACAAAAATATATCCATTTGCCCATTTTTCTATCTTGCTAGAAAAGCCAACGGTGAAATATTTAAAAGTTCCCAAGCTAAGAGCCCACCCACAACTCCATTAATTCCATGCCAGCTCCCAAACTAATTTTCCAAATCCAAGATAAATACTTCACCCACCTAAACAATAACAACAAATACAAATCAACCAGCATCAACAATTGTGCACCCAGAAGTCACTTTTGAAAGATTCAGGGGAATGTTGAGAAACGACAACCTAAAATTCAAAAAAAATTAAGACTTGCAGGGAAGAAATGGTGAATTGAAGAACGAAGGGGCCCTTTGTAATTCCTCTCCAAACTGATCTGAAAGCGAGTTTCAAAATGACCAGCTACAAGAATGATATGGAAAAAGATGCTAAGCTGGATAATACGAATGAAAAGTGGCTGATACCTTCATAATTGAAAGCGATGTACAAATAACAAATCGAAGGAGTTACTTGGCTAACTTTCCTATACTGGATTGACAAAAAAAATACACATTAAAACTTTGAAGGACTTTGTAAGGGACTAAAAAAAGATGAAATCAAATCCTCGAACATTATTTGATGGGATTAAAGATCAAGATTGTTAAAAGGAAGAATGTAAAGTTGGTTTATTTGATCAAGCTTAAAATAGATCTGGTGCTTACGACTGATAATTCTTAATGGCCTTTTGCGGACATCAAGACTGAAGAACGAAGCTTTTAAGGAAAGTAAGCAATGGGGATTGGGAAGAAGAGTTCATTTGTTATATTTTAAAAGAAGGTGATAAGTTACTAAAATAGTTTGTACTTGTGATGAAGAGAGATGTTATATCTTTATATATGTATCTTCCTTTACTATATTTTTTTCTTTCTTTCTTTCTTTCTTGCAGTTTCTGTCTTTTTCTTTTGTTCTTTATCTTGTTAATTGTAATCTTTTTAATAAAATGTCTATACATTTTTTTAAAAAAATGGGAGCATTGAGGAACTACCTTCAGAAGCAAACGAGGACACTTTACGTCTCCCTGATGCGACATGTAGGAAAGAAAGGCGAGAATTTCCTGAGCTGAGGATGGATCTTGACTTCCCACATTTGCCCCCAGATGTCCACCCCAACCCACAATGAGATGTGCTCACTGCCTTGACTGATATATAAACACAAGAGATAAAAATCTAATCATCATCATCATCATTCTCCCTTCCAAGCCAAGCCCACCCTTTTTCACAAAACCTGAGCCTTTCCAAAACAGCCGGACTCTTTCCTCTCCCACCCAGCAGTTCCCCAGGACAAATGCAACTTCACACTCGCCTCCAAAAAGCCCCAAATTTTTCATATCTATGCCTTTCATTGCTCCCAGCCTCCCCTCCTTTCCTGCAGCCACAGCCACCGAGGGCCCCAGCTGATCCCCCCCCCACCATCTTTCCATGGGTTGTTCCATCAAATCCCTCTTTGCCCAGCTTCTACTAGCCCTGTTAGGTAGTCCAGAGAAAGCACACCCAGGAGAACTCAATCTATATCTATTGTAAGGTTACCCCAACAGTGTCTATGGAGATTCTCAGTCATCCAGGTCATGGATGTCCCAAAGGGGCTTTTTTCAAGAGGCAACTGGACTTTCTGGGATGTTTTTTTTTTCTTTGAAGATGTTTTGCTTCTCATCCAAGAAGCTTCTTCAGCTCTGACTGGATGGTGGGGAATGGAAGGATTTATACTCCTTGCAGATAGAATTGGTCATTTGCATTCTTTTTAGAGAGTCGTTGAGGCCACTTGGAGGTTTATCAGTGTCCTCAGAGTCACCTGAGTAGTGCAAATGGATGTGGAGCCTTCTTGGAACTGTGAAAGGACTCTGTTGTAGGCTGAAAATAGAAGATGTTGTATCCCTGCCCCTCAGTTGAGAGAGAGCTGTTCGATTTTGACATAGGTGGCCTCTTTGACCCCTCTTCTTTCAAACCGGCAGTCCTCTCTGTCCAAAATATGGACTTTGCTGTCTTCAAAATTGTCTTTGAAATGCAGATGGACTGCTGAATCTAGTCCCGATGTGTTCCCCTATGTTGTGTCATGCGTTTAGGAAGCGGTCGAAGGCTCCACACCCCATTTGCACTACTCCGATGACCCTGAGGACACAGATAAGCCTCCAGGTGACCTCAAGGACTCTCTAAAAAGGATGCAAACGACCAGCTCTGTCTGCAAGGAGTATAAATCCTTCCATTCCCCACCATCCAGTCAGAGCTGAAGAAGCTTCTTGGATGAGAAGCGAAACGTCTTCAAAGAAAAACCTGAAAGTTTTCCCCCAAGTTGCCCCTTGGGGGAAAAAAAAGCACTTTTGAGTTACCCCAACATAATTTTGGAGGGCTGGAAGTCTTTCTCCTCTCTCCCCTCCACCCCCACCCCTCCATTACTTTGATTCTCTCCAAAACTAGGAGAGTCCCTTCTGGAGACGCGTCCTTCCTCCACCCCCAGTCCTCAATCCCTGCTTTGAACTCTCCTTTGACCCTTGTCCACCCAAGGTCATTCTCACAACCCTTGACTGGTTCACACTGCCAGCCCCAACCTACTGCCCCATCTCTTCCTCCCTCTCCCCCAAGGTTGATTTAACCCGTCCCTCATCCCTCCTGCCTCCAAGGCTGGTTTAACCCCACGCCCCCATCCCTTCCTCTCTCTCCCCCCCCCCGGACTGGTTTTAACCCCCACATCCCTCCCTCCCTCCTCCCACAAGGTTGGTTTGAACCCCCATCCCTCTGCCCCAAGGCTGGTTTAACTTCCCCCCCTTCCTCCTCTCCCCAAGGTTGGTTTCCCCCATCGCCCTGCCCCAAGACTGGTTTAACACGCCCCCATCCCTTCCTCTCCTCCCCTCCAAGGTTGGTTTGACCCCCCATCCCTCCTGCCCCCAAGACTGGTTTAACCTCCCCCATTCCTTCCTCTCCCCCCCTCCCACTGGTTTAAACCCCCATCCCTTCCTCCCTCTCCCCCAGGTTGCTTTGACCCCCCCCCATCCCTCCTGCCCCAAGGCTGGTTTAAACCCCACTCCCACCCCTTCCTTCTTCCCTCACTGACTGGTTTAAACCCCCCCCCATTCCTCCATCCCCAGGTTGCTTTGACCCACCCCCCCCCCCCCTGCCCCCAAGACTGGTTTAACCCCCTCCATCCCTCCTTCCTGCCCCCCCCCCAAGGCTGGTTTAACCTCTACACCTTCTTCCCTGCAACCCCCCCCAGGCTGGTTTAATCCCCCATCCCTTCCTCCTTTCCCCCCCCCCCCAAGGCTGGTTTAACCCCCCACCCCTTTCTTCCCTCCCTCCCTCCTGACCCCCCCCACCAAACCTGGTTTAACCTCCCCCCTCCCCACATTTCCAGCTTCAAAAGCCCTGGTGTAGCTCAACTCAAAGGGGTTTGGGGCCCTCCTGAACCTTTCTCCTCCCCCTCCTCACTATGAATGTGATTTCCCTTCCCCCCCCCCCACCCCCCCCCCCCAATTAGGACCTGCAATTCAATGGCTCTTTTTTGAGGAGGGGGGGTGGAGGGATACGTCTCCAAAGCCTGGAAAAGGGGGAGAATCGGCGGCGGGGGGGGCCGTTTCGGATGATGGGTATTGTAGTCCTTGGAGGTTGCTTGCTCTCCCCTTCTCCTCCTCCCCCCAATAACCCCCCCCAGGCGGGGAGGGGGCTTCCAGTTCCCCCCCCCCCTCACAGGAGCCGCTTCCCTGCCCCCCAAGGCCCTGCTCCAAAGGACCGAGGAGGCCCGGCGGGACTCACCTCTCCCTGGCGGCGCCGCCGCTGGAGCTGCCGGGCCCCGCTCGCCTCCTTCCCCAGGCCGCCATCTTGGAAAAAGGCTTCGCAAATGTCTCCGCCGAAAGGGGCAGCGGAGGGCGGGGCTGGGCGGAGGGCGGAGAGGCAGGCTTTGGGAGCCGCTTCCCGAAGGCTGCCGGGAAACGGAGTCCGGCAGGAGGGCGCCGAGGAAGCCCTGGCAACGGGCGCCTCCTCTCGCACAAACTACAAACTCCGGCCATCTTGGCAGAGAAAGAGATCGGGGTGGTGGTGAAGAAGAGCGCGAGCGGTGCCGCTTGGGAAATGAAGTCCCTCGGCCAGGGAAAGCGGTAGGAGGAGCGGGAGGGGAAAAACTACCTTTCCCAGGGAAGGGCGGGGAGAGGTACGGGCCCACGTGAGCGCGAGGGGGGCGGAGAGAGAGAGAGAGAAAAAAAAAAAAGGTTTTAGCCCAGACTCCGGAGAGCGGACGAGGGTTGCTTTGGCCGGAGTTCTGGCTCCGCCCACTTTGCGCGGCTCAGCCAATGGGAGCCCGGCACCTCGTTTTCTCGGGTTTCGCACGTTTGGCATGGAAAATGAATCATAAAACGAAATTAATGAAATGGAGCGAAGCACGTGCTTTCCGTTGCAAGCGGCGATCGCCATTGCAAAGTTCCTAGTCGGTGGGACTTTTTTTGGTGGAAGAGTCCTAACTGGGCGATCATCAAACCAACATCTCGATAAACCATGGTTTGTTTAAACAAAAAACAAAAAAACGACCCAAAAGTCACACTAAGCCAGAAAAGAACATGGGAAAACACACCCAAGTTAGCAAGTAAATCTGGTCACTTTAAGAAGCCTGGATTTCAACTCCCAGAATTTTCCTGCCAGCTATTATTTTATTTATTTTTATTTATTTATTTATTTAATTTGTATACCGCCCTTCTCCCAGAAGGGACTCAGGGCGGCGAACAGCCAAAATTAAAAAACATATTAGCTTTGATCAAGTTTGAATAACCTACTAACTGAACCTCAACCCTTATGATTTTCAAAGCCTGTTGCAATAGACTTGAATTAACATAGGATGGCTTAGCACTGCCTGTGAATCTGTCCGAGAAACCGCTTTTTCTGTCGTCTCTCGACCTCGGCTTGAAAAGTTGCTCTGTCTAGAAGAGACGATAATGATTGATTTATGATTGATTGATTGATTGATTGATGAGGAGAGACAGAGAAAGAGGAAGAAAAGAAAGGAAGGAAGGAAGGAAAGAAAGAAAGAAAGAAAGAAGGAAGGAAGGAAGAAAGAAAGAAAGAAAGAAAGAAAGAAAGAAAGAAAGAAAGAAAGAAGAGAAGAAAAGAAAAAAAGAAGAGAAGAGAAGAAAAGAAAAGAAAAGAAAAGAAAAGAAAAAAGAAAAGAAAAGAAAAGAAAAGAAAAGAAAAGAAAAGAAAAGAAGAAAAGAAAAGAAAAGAAAAGAAAAGAAAAGAAAAGAAAAAAGAGATTGATTGATCAATGTCTTTGGCATAAGTTTGAAGAGCCTTGGTGGTGCAGCAGACTAAAGTGCTGTTAAGTAGCACTTAGCTGCCAGCTGCCTGCAGTTACTGCGAGTTCAAATGTCACCAGGCTCAAGGTTGACTCAGCCTTCCATCCTTCCGAGGTAGGTAAAATGAGGACCCAGATTGTGGGGGCAATAAGCTGACTTTGTATAAAAAAGAACACCGCTTGGGGGGGGCCGAAAGCCCTACTAAGCAGGTATATACAAAAGTATGAAGGCTATTGCTTAACGCATTGTAAGCCGCCCTGAGTCTCCGGAGAAGGGCGGCATATAAATCGAACCAATAAATAAATAAGAAAGAAAGGAAAAGAAGAGAGAGAGATTGATTGATTTCAGTCTTTGGCATAAGTGAATCTGTGCCTTTTTCCATTGTCTTACAAGTCCCCAATCGGGTGAAATGCTCCCGGATGAGACCGGATCACCCGATCCGGTAGTGATTTTTTCCCTGTGGTTTGGCGATCCAGTAGCGATCACTGCCCGGGTGTCATTACTTCCTGGTTTTATCCAGGAAGTAATGTTTTATTACCTTCTGTGCTTGCGCAGGTTTTGTGCACCCACAGGTGTGCGCACACGTGCACTTCTGAACCGGTAAGGAAGGTAAGTAGATTTCACCCCTGGCCCAACCCCACCAAATCAAGTGATCGTTAGTGACCAAACAGCTTAGCCACGCTTTTAAAAATTATATTTCATGCAACAGGGTCAGATTTTTATTAATGACACAACCCGAGAAGGAAAAAAAATATTAAAAACACACATGTACACCAACCAGAAAAGTCATTGTTAAGAAGTCCTGAGTCAGAAAGGCACATAGAATAAGGGTGAAAATAATCCCACGTTGGTGGAAAACACGAGGTCGTCCCCCCCCACCCCGGCCCTCCGAATCGTCTAAGCTGATGGCTCTTGAAGTTGCAGGTGGTTCTTGAGATTGGGCCCATCCTGTGGTTCTTGAAGCTCTGTGTGCCCACCTAATGGACTTCCCATCCCCTATCTAACAATAAAGAGGTGCTTTATCCGTGCCCCGTTCTTCCTCCAGCAGATCTCAGAAATATTTTTTTTTTCCTTCTCAAAAGATCTGTGAAAAGTTTCATTCCACCAATTTGGCCTCTTCCAGAGAAGTTGGGACTTTCAAGAATCTCTAGCCAGTCCAGCTGGAATTTCACCACCTCTGGGACAGATCAAAGCTGCACTGAGACACTTACAACTGAGATACTTCAATAGAGAAAAATGGGGGGGGGGGGGGGAGAGCCTCCATTCCACCCTCTGAGTCCTTCAAAGATAAAGGACCTGATTGCTATCACCTATCTTCCCTCTGCTATCCTTGGAGACCCTTGTCCCTCTGCAATGCAAAAATTAAAAACTGCAGAAAAATAAAGGGTTTCCCCCACCCCCAAAATAAAAGCATCAGTGTTACTAAAAAAAAAAAAAAAAATCTCAGTTAAGTTCCACAAACTTTTGTTGGGGCATCATGGAAGAAAGCTGGAGCATTTCTGAAATATTGCATCTCAGACTAACTCTGACCTTTGCAAGCCTCCTTCTTTAGCCGAGGAAAATATTCCCATCGTATTTAGGATAAATCATCTCTCTTCGCCTCCTCAGCGCCCAGTAGTATTTTCTAGATAAGGGAGGACATCTTCAGGCAGAGACCACTGAAGAAAAGGTGCCATGACAAGTTAGTGAACAGTAAGGAGAAGTTCAAGTTTTCGAATGGTACGACAAGCGGTCTTAACACTGCTGGGAGGGCAGATGTCCATCAGATAAGCTGTGTATGTGGTGTATGTGCATAAAAATACCAGTCCTCTCACAAAACCTCTTCAGCTGGACTCTCACTGATGTTTTTAGAACAGCGTTTCTCAAAACGTGGCAACTTTAAGACGGGTGGACTTCAACTCCCAGAAATCCCCAGCCAGGAATTCTGGGAGTTGAAAGTTCACCCATCTTAAAAGTTGCCAAGTTTGAGAAATGTTTGCTATAGAGCTATCCACGAATCAAACCACACAATACGATTTGTGCTCCAAATTTCACCCTTTTAGGGCAGGGGTCTCCAACGTTGGCAACTTTAAGCCTGGCGGACTTTAATTCCCAGAATTCTGGGAGTTAAAGTCCGCCAGGCTTAAAGTTGCCAACTTTGGAGTCCTCTGTTTAGGTAATGATCTTATCTCATCTCTTCCATTTATTTCTGCTGAAATTCCCAAAGACACACCTAAGGAACTGAACTGGGCAGGGGGAAAATAAAATAAAAAGGGATAGGGAAACTTAGATCCCCAAAGGAATTCAAATTCTGTGGCAAAATTAACCCAAGCAAATCCTTCCGCCTGCCACTCTCCTATTAAACCAAGTTTCCCCAGAATGGGCACCCTCTGTACTGGCCCAGGGTGATGGAAAATGTAGTTCTAGATATTTGGGAGATGCTTGGCTAGGGACAATAGAACTAAATAACTCCCCCCCATTCAGGAGGGAGCGGGGAGGAAGAGAGCAGGAAACAGAAGGTGATTAGAGCTTCCTGCAAAACCTTATTGTATTATCTCGCAAGTCATTGCAATCTAAAGAGGGAACTTTGACAATCGTCGCACTCTTGGATAGGTCATGTTTAAACAGGAACATCCAACTTTGGCAAACTGTAAGGCCTATGGGAATTCTTGGAGTCGAAGTCCACCCGTCTCAAAAGTTGGAGAACCCAAAGTTTGGTGGACTTCCAGAATTCTCACAGCTCTTCAACTTGCCAAGGTTGAACGTTCCTTGTTTAAACCATCCTATCAGGGACCCTTCTCTCTCCCTCTCTTTCCGATGACCCACTCTTCCCACGATCCCCAGCCGTCCTCACCAGAAGCGAAGGGCCGAAGAAATGAAAACGTTCGATCAAAGCTAGAAAGCTAATCATTTCCTCCCCGGAGTAGACCCCTTTTTTCTTTGCACTCCCTCTTTTCTTGAATCGGTGTGCGCCAACTCATCTCAAAGACGACCTTCTAACTGCATCTCCCGCAAAATCCCTGGCTATTCAGTTTATAGGATTCCACCTCACTTACTCTATCTGCATTATGGATCTGGTTTTTTGTTTTTTTTTTTAAAAAAAAACCTGGCTGGAGTAGAGAGACTCTTCTGGTTGGAGGTGCCCATCAGTTGTTCAGCACTCTTCGAACACTCTTCCCTTTCTTGTGTCCATCCTTTTTAGCCCCTCGCTTTTTGGCGGCGTCTTCTTCTTCTTGCGTAGAATGGGAAACACCCCACCAAGGAGATTGAAAAGGGAGGAAGGTCCCACCAAAATGGGATAAATAGCCCACGCCAGCCCATCCCTCAAAATGTCCCTAGAATCCATCTAAGCCTCTCCTTCACGCACCATCACCCCAAAACACCCAACACGTTGCCATGATGTTGCGAGCTCAGTCGAGCAAGTGTCCCAGGTTAAAAGTCCTTTCTTCATTTCAGTCCACGCTTCGGTAGGGGCACCCAGGGTGGCGAGATCGCATGGCAGAAGCACAAACATTTATTTAACCTCTTGTTAAAGGCTCCAAGTTTAGCCTGCGCATGGCGGTACGATCATCCTAGCCAAAGGGGTTCAAAGATGCCCTCGGAGGCCCAGAGTAGCTCGGCTTCTTGTATTTTCCATGCTGCTCCAGGAAGAAAAGTGGCCAAGTAAACTTGCTTTAACCCAACCCTCGTTGAAAACCAGACCCACCCCATGCCTTCAACTTTCGGCCACGAGTCCATCCAACTGGCAGGAGGTTGAATTTTGCCCCCCGAGGGTTTCCCGGCCGCCCGCTCCCCCCCCCCTCGCCAAAATGCAAAAATAAAAACGGCAAATGCAAACTGTAAAATTCTCCGGTCAGCCGAACGGCTTGGAAGTATGGTTGCAAAATCTCGCCGTCTTGGGCTTCTTCAAACGTACAAACCTCTGAGCATGTACAGAGGCAGGTGAGGGGGGTCCCCCGTGACAGCTTGGAGGCCGGGGCGAGTCACTAGAGTCGCTGCCATCTTCAAGCAAGGTTCTGGGTTAAGACTGTAAACGTTCCACATATTGCGGCAGTGGGTTCTCCTTGACGTATTTCTGGATGTACCAACACGTGAGGTGGGCTTTCAAATCTTCCTCCACCACAAAGTCCAAGGCGGCCTGAAAACAAAGACGAGAAAGACCCCACCCCACCCCCAGAAACAGAGTTAGCGTCTGAAATAGAGGTAAATTCCATAATTTACAACCACCGTCGGCATTAGAAGTCCTGTCGCCCGAGCAAGGAGATGATTCAATGAAGCGTGGCTGATTTTACGACCCCTTTTGCCGCGGTTGTTAAGCGAATCACATACTCATTAAGCGACTCCGGCTCCCCAACATTGACTCAGCGGAATGACTTGCTCTCCAGAAGTTTTAGTTCTGGCTGTGCACCGCCCTGAGTCCACTTGGAGAAGGGCAGGATATAAATTGAAAAAATAAATAAAGAAGTTGTGGTTGCTCCAACATGGGAGGTTTTTAAGAATAACAGAATAACAAGAGTTGAAAGGGGCCTATGAAGTCTTCTAGTCCAACCCCTTGCTCAAGCAGGAAACCCTACAGCATTTCAGACAAATGGTTGTCTAATTTCTTCTTAAAAGCCTCCAGTGATGGAGCATTCACAGCTTCTGGTGGCAAGTTGTTCCACTGGTTAATTGTTCTCACTGCCAGGAAATTTCTCCTAGGCTCTAAGTTGCTTCTCTCCTTGATTAGTTTCCATTCATTGTTCCTTGTTTGTTTCTGTTTTGTTTTTGTTTTTATTAAATTTATATACCGCCCTACTCCCGAAGGACTCAGGGCGGTGAACAGGCACAAAATAAAATACATAGATACAAAAGTTAGAAACATAATTAAAACCAGATTAAATAATTTAGCCCAAGACAATTAAAAATCCCAATAATTTAAAACAGATTAAAATTTCGATTTAAAAGAGTTTTAAAACTGGGAGAAAATTAGGCCAGGCCAGCTTGCTGGAATAAGAGGGTCTTAAGAGCACGGCGGAAAGTGCACAGATCCGGGATCCTCCGTATCTCTGGGGGGAGCTCATTCCAGATAGTGGGTGCCCCCACAGAGAAGGCTCTCCCCCTGGGGGCCGCCAGTCGACATTGTTTGGCCGACGGCACCCAGAGGAGCCCCTCTCTGTGAGAGCGTACCGGCCTAATAACCAGGTCCTAAGCCATGGAGCGCTCTAAAGGTGGTAACCAAAACCTTGAAGCGCACCTTGTCCTGCCTTCAGGGGCTTTGGAGAATAGCTTGACCCCCTCTTCTTTGTGGCAGCCCCTCAAATATTGGAAGACTGCTATCATGTCACTCTTGGTCCTTCGCTTCACTAGACTAGACACATCCTGCAACCGTTTTTCGTACGTCATTCTTATAAGAAGAGATTGGACAACCATTTATCTAAAATGGTAGAGTTTCCTGCTTGAGTAGGGGGGTTGGACTAGAAGACCTCCAAGGTCCCTTCCAACTCTTTTATTCTGTCACTTTGCTTGTTGGAAGCCGGCTTGGAGGTTTCTTATGATCCTTGGATGCCTTCTGCCAAATGGAGGAGGGGCATCAGCAGAATTGAAAAAGGAGATGCTAGGGTAGGTATCAAGGAGCAGAGCATAATGGAGAAGAATCTTGGCTTAGACCCAGGAGCCCAATAATCTCTAGCAATTTTGGCTTCTGCTAGCCAGGAAGCATAGGTGTGGACTCCTTCTGCCCCAACTCCAGCTTCTGAATCATCATAAATAATCCAAACATGTTGGAGAAAGGCGTGACTTACTATTGCCCAATCTTCTTCTTGGCCACAACAAGCATTAGCCAACCCTAAGCAAAAGTCATCCCAGGTCATGGCTTCCATCCAAGCTTTTAGAGCAGGGGTGTCAAACTCGATTTCGTTGAGGGTCGCATCAGGGTTGGGTTTGACGTCAAGGGGCCATGGCCACAATGGGCGTGGCCCAGTGGTGGGTTGCCCCCGGTTCGGACCGGTTCTATAGAACCGGTAGTAACACTGGCGGGAGGCTCCGCCCACTGACCCTGATGTCATCAGAAGCGATCCCGTTGCGAACCGGTAGTAAAGGTAAGTAGAACCCACCCCTGAAGTGGCCAGCTCGATGTCACTCATGTTGGGGGCGCCTGTTGTGGCCTGAGCGCTCTACCAGCGAAAACGGGCTCTCGAGCTCCGTTTTCGGCTACGACAGTCCTCTGCCAGCAAAAACGGAGCTCAGGGAGCTGCACGCAGCCCTCGCAAGCTCAATTTTCACTGGCAGAGGCACCGCGGACCAGATCTGTTTCCAGGGCGGCCCCGCGGGCCACATCTAAGCACCCCACGAGTCGAATCCATCCCCCGTTTGACACCTCTGTTTTAGAGGAACTACAAGTTCAAGAGGACCTCGGCATACTTCCTCTTCCAGTTCTACCGTGTTTCCCCGAAAATAAGACCGGGGTCTTATATTACTTTTTGCTCCAAAAGATGCATTAGGGCTTATTTTCTGGTTTTATGTCTTATTTTTGGGGAAAATACGGTGCTAATTGTGTCCGTCTGGCTGAAGATCTTAACTGGGGCTTATTTTGGGGGTAGGGCTTATATTACAAGCATCCTGAAAAATCATGCTAGGCCTTATTTTCCAGTCGGGTCTTATTTTTTGGGTAGTGCCACCTACTATCTAGAATCGAAGATGGAGCCACCTTGGCACCAGAGGACTCCTGACCCCTACAGGTAATCCTCAACGGTTCATTTAGTGACCGTTCAAAGTTACAATGGCACTGACAAAAGGGACTTATGACTGTTTTTTTCACACTTACGACCGTTGCAGCATCCTCACGATCGCTTCTATCAAAATTCAGACCCTTGGCGACTGACCTCATATTTATGACGGTGGCAGCGTCCCGGGGTCACGTGATTCCCCTTTTGCGACCGTCTGACAAGCAAAGTCATGGGGGAAAGCCAGATTCACTTAACAACCAGGTTACTAACTGAGCAACTGCAATGATTCACTTAATAACCGTGGCAAGAAAAATTGTAAAATGAGGCAACCTCACTTAACCAATGTTCCACCTAACCAATCTTTCACTTAACAAATCTTTCACGTAACAAATGTTTCACTTAACAAATGTTTCACTTAGCAACCTAAATTCTGGGCTCGACAGTGGTTGTAAATCGAGGAGTATCTGTATATGTTTAGCAAGGAACATGGGAGGTCGGAGACAACTGCTTAGGACTCTTTAAATAACAACACAAAAAATGAAGCCCCCAATTCAGCCTTCTAAAAACTAACTGCAGCATCAGCAGGAAGAGACATAAAAGTGGATTTTTTTTCTCTCCTTTGCTTTCTTTTTCACCTGGGGGAGAATTCCCTCCTGGCAGGATAAATCTGCTTTTTAGGTAGACCAAGGAAACCGTACGATTGTCCTCGGGAAGACGAACCGAGCAGCCCAGAGGAGATAAAGAAAACCAGGACGCAGAGAAAAATCAAGATTCTAGCAAAACCATAATGGGCCTCTTAAGGATGAGAATTTGCAAGCCAAAGCCGCTTATCCATAAACTGCAGATTGTGGAGCAAGTTCAATCCGTCCCTTTGGAGTCCCCAGCTTGTAATCAGCTCTGTGCCGGTTTCTCCATGCTCATTAGCTAATTTAACGAACAAAAGCCGGAGGATAATAAAAAGAAATCGTCAGCGAAAGCCCAGCGAGGCAATTTTGATGGGACCGGCTGAAACACTGACCAACAGCAGCTGTAAAATCCATGCGCGTACATGGAAATTAAACCAAGAATTATTATTTTCTTTTTCTTTTTCAGAGGGAAGTGGGATTTCCCCACAAATTCAGCGCCCCCTGGTCCAGCTTGCTCCAGATATGTGGGGATTTTCACTTCCAGTTTTTCTCACCGGCCTGGAGAATCTGAGGTGCCCGGCCAAAATCGCTTTCAATAGGATTTACGATTTATATTTTTTAAAACCATCGCTTTAAAGGAAAGACAAATAGAGCTGGAAAAATCAGATTTGCATCGTGGTGGTTTCAATACGCCAATGGCTGAGACGGCGTCAATGTGAACCTTGGGTCACCAACCTTACCGGGTGAATTTTCCTTCAGTTGGTGACAATAAAATGGATTTAATAATTAAAAAAAACCTTCCATTTGGGGGAAATGTCTTTGGAAGGGACGTGTTTAACAAATGCCAAGTTTAATCTCTTTTCTGACTGCCAACACACTTTTCTAGCAATTTAATACTCCGGATCTACAAAAGAAAAATGCCAAAAATATATACAATAATATTTTATTTCCCCACCCACCCCTGTCAAAGATATAATAGAGTTAATCCACCAAAGTACAAATAGAAAAAAAAAAAAAAACTAGTGGTACTCTAAAAACTGGCAAAATATTAGTTAGATCGGTGTCTCTCAATCTTGGCAACTTTGAGGTATGTGGTGGACTTCACTTCCCAGAATTCTCTAGCCATCACTGACTGGCTGAGGAATTCTGGGAGTTGAACTTCATATTTCTTAAATTTGCCAAGGTTGAGAAAGGTTAAAGCTAGATTTTAACATTTTGCAAAACTACGTTCCATGTGCCAGGTTCGATGAGTTTCAAAGTAGCCGAGTACCAAGGTACCGCTGTATTATTAAACAAGGCATCTATTCCTTATCTGTTAATTGGGAGGCATGCTAAATAATTACTTTTAAATAGTAAACAATGATTGAACGGTGATTATTATACTAATCGTTGGTTCTTGTTTAAGTAATTGCTACTGTATGGAACAATCCAGGGCTTAATGCAAACGTATCAGGCGTGAAGATCCAATTATATTGATTTATTGATACTCTATGATGTCTATGCAAATGACTCAACTAATGAACCAATCAAGAGCCACGGAATTCAAGGGAGGTTGGACTTAGTCCGCTTGTGACTACGTAGAGATTCTAGTCCGATTTCTCTTTTGACTCCACCCCCTCAGGTTCGGCTATAGCTCCCGCTGCCTTAAGAAAGTTCAAAACAATCTTAAAGATCCATCTCATCCTGGGCACTCTTTTTTCGAACTATTACCATCTGGCAGACGGTACAGGGTAATAAAAACAAGGACAAATAGGCTGAAAAACAGCTTCTACCCCAGGGCAATAACCATATTGACTTCTACGGTATAGTGCAATATTGTTTTCAATTTCAATTATATAGAATGTAAAAGATGTAAGTTTGTGTTTTTATTTTTATAGTTATAATGTACAATGAAGACGGCATTTAATTTCGTTGTACCATGTGCAAGGACAATAAAGTAAAAGTAAAGTAAAGTAAAGTAAAGTAAAGTAAAGTAAAGTAAAGTAAACTAAACTAAACTAAACTACTCCTTCTCCTACAAAACCTTTACATTCTCTGTATGTAAATCAATAAAAATCAATCAAATCAATGATTTTTTTGAAAAAAATCAAAAAAATCAGATTTTTTTTATTTAAATCGGATTTTTTTGATTTAAATCGGATTTTTTTTTATTTAAATCGAATTTATTTTAATAAAAAACTGTTGGGGTAAAAATCTATCATAAGATAGTTTTCTACTTAAGATACATAAACAATTTAGTTTATTCAGCATGAAATGGAGCTTAGTTACGTAGCAGGAGGCTGTATATTTTGCAACACTGGGACTATCGGTGAGTCAACAGTGGGTCAAAGGAGTAGCAGAGATGACAGTCGCTCTTTGAAAATTATGATTTAAATCGAGTTGATTTAAATCAAGCCTTTTTACTAGTGATTTAAATCATGATTTAAATTGTGATTTAAATCAACTCGATTTAAATCAAATCCACCCTGATGTAAATCTTTGTGGATGTATTCAGAATAAGACAACTTAGAGTTAGTTAAATGGAAAAGCAGAAAGGCCCCCAAAGACCCCATGTATCTCTTTCAGGAAGGGCAATCCTAATGATCCATACCTTGGCCAGATGTTTTGCGATTCCTCTGCCCCGGTAGGTATCTGGGACTTCCGTATGTTGAAGATCCACCACTCTCTTCCCTACGTATTCATACAACAGGACGGCTTTATCATGGCAGCCTGCAAATGGAAAGAGACACACGAGACAAAACACACCCGGAAAATTTAAAATACGGTACAAAACATTAGTAGCACACAACCTTCCTCATCTCACATTTGTAACTGCAACTCCATCATCCATAGCTAACTGTATTTACACATTACGGGCCGTCCTCGACATACGACCATTCATTTAGTGGCTTTCCCCTCCGGTCGGTTATAAAAATCTATCCAACGTATGTACCCAATTCTGGAGAAATTAAAAATAAGTTGGACTCTAGTCTCAAGTGCCTCCTATCCTATTTCCCCCCCAAAAAAATAGTTCAGAAACTTGACAGGCTAAAATTGACAGGGCCCTGGCGGCTCAGCTGGCTAATAGCCTGTTATTAACATTCAGCTGCCTGCAATTACTGCAAGTTCGAATCTCGCCAGGCTCAAGGTTGACTCAGACTTCCATCCTCTCTAAGGTAGGTAAATTGAGGACCCGGTTTGTGGGGGCAATAAGCTGACTTTGTATAAATATACAAAAGTTTGAAGGCTATTGCTTAACGCACTGTAAGCTGCCCTGAGTCTCCGGAGAAGGGCGGCGTATAAATCAAATTAAAAAAAAAAAAATTCCTGAAAAGAGAGCATCTCGCCGCAAGAAGGGATGTTTGGAAACCCACATCAAGAAAAGTCGGTGTTGACTTAAAAGTTGGTACGAGAGGGACGGGATGAAGAGGAAAAGAAACAGATACTATGATGGAGGCTGGTCATCTATGTATTTATCTGCAGGCATCTAAAATCAGAGAATTGTGGTTTTGCAACGAAAATATCCATGGTAAGACGCTTTCCAGCATCTTCTTAAAAACCTCCTAGGTGAAGAACCCTACAGTACAGGTAGTCCTCGACTTACGACCACAATTGAGCCCAAAATGTCTGTTGCTAAGTGAGGTAATTCTTAAATTTAGTTTAGTTTAGTTTTTATTATATTTGTTTACCGCTATTCTCCCGAAGGACTCAGGGCGGTGAACAGCCATGAAAAAACAACATACAAGACAAAATTTAAAAAAACATATTAAAACAATTCAATCTTTGGCCAAAATTAAAACTTCCAATTAAAACCATATTAAACCATTTTAAAATCCAATTTAAAATCATTTATCCCGTCAGACCGGCTTCCTGAAATAATAGGTTCTTCAGAGCACGGCGGAAGGCGCGGAGGTCGGGGATCCTTCGTATTAAGTGAATTTTTCCCTGTGTTACGACCTTTCTTTCCACAGCTGTTAAGTGAATCACTGCAGTTGTTGAATTACTCACACAATTGTGAAGTGAATCTGGCTTCCCACTGATTTTGCTTGCCAGAAGGTCGCAAAACGAGGATCACAAGACCGTCATAAAATGAGTCAGTTGCCAAGGGTCTGAAATTTGATCCCATGGCTATTGGGAAGGCTGCAACGGTCGTAAGAGTGGAAAACTGGTCATAAGTGACTCTTTTCAGTGCCCGAACTTGTCAGTGAATTGTTGTAAGTTTGAGGACTTTGAATTTGTCAATGAACTGTTATAAATCGAGGACTATCTGAAATTCCACCGCTAAATGGTTCCATTACTGTGAAAATATTACAATCAGGATTTTTCTTTCCTTAAATTTAAACGAAAGTTATGGAGGCTTCTGAAACTGCGGAAAAGGCGACACGGTTAAAATAAATTACAGTTGAACATTTTGTGCCGCTAGATTCCTTGCGCTGAACGTAAGGCAGATGTTTATCTCTGCATTGTTAAATAAAGTATAATCTCTTTGACACAACATGCCCAGTCGAAAGCAAACAGATCTAATTGTGGTTTGGGCCAATCTGAGTCAAACCAGATTTGGCTAACTGAAAAGAAGCCACCTTCAGGAGCCACGATCTGAAGCTGGTTTGTTTTAACCCTGAGGGAAATTTCAACTCTTGTTTTCCAGTTTGGGTTTTGTTCGTGCAGTTGTCCATCTTAAAAACAAACTGACAACTTTCAGATTTGTCCTTGGAGCCACACTGGAAGCAAGACAACGAATTCCGGTGGTTTAACTTTTACATGTTACATAAACAATTCCTATTAAGGGAAACCTATAGAAATATTCATTTTGCAAGGCAGGGTGAGTAACCTTTGGCTAGGCCACCCTAGGTAAAAATGTTTATTTGGGGCAAATTGTTCTGCCACGTTCACCCACATCTTCAAGCTTATCAAATAATTCTAAGTCAAAACATAAGTTGCTTAATTGTTGAGACTCTAGAAAGAGTGCAGAGAAGAGCAATAAAGATGATCAGGGGATTGGAGGCTAAAACATATGAAGAACGGTTGCAGGAACTGGGTATGTCTAGTTTAATGAAAAGAAGGATTTAGGGGAGACATGATAGCAGTCTTCCAATATCTCAGGGGTTGCCCCAAAGAAGAGGGAGTCAAGCTATTCTCCAAAGCACCTGAAGGCAGGACAAGAAGCAACAGGTGGAAACTAATCAAGGAGAGAAGCAACTTAGAACTAAGGAGAAATTTCCTGATCCAACAATGAATCAGTGGAACAACTTGCCACCAGAAGTTGTGAATGCTCCAACACTGGAAGTTTTTAAGATGTTGGACAACCATTTGTCTGAAGTGGTGTAGGGTTTCCTGCCTAAGCAGGGGGTTGGACTAGAAGACCTCCAAGGTCCCTTCCAACTCTTCTATTCTATTCTATTCTATTCTATTCTATTCTATTCTATTCTATTCTATTCTATTCTATTCTATTCTATTCTATTCTATTCTAATCTAATTATGGCTCAACACGTATCATGAACCTAATAGGGTACACAGTTTATTTAGTAAATCACAACTTGTGTGAAATAGCCTTTCTGAAGTTTAGAAACTTTAAGCTGTGCGGATTTCAATTCCCGGGGTATCCTTTGACCTCAAGTCCTATTGCATTATGGCTGAATATGACATGTGCATCCAAGATGCTGGGCTGAGCAAGTAGGATGCCTTTAACCATGATAGAGCCCTGGTAGCGCAGCAGACTAAAGCACTGTTATTAACATTCAGCTGCCTGCAATTACTGCAAGTTCAAATCTCACCAGGCTCAAGGTTGACTCAGCCTTCCATTCTTTCGAGGTAGGTAAAATGAGGACCCAGATTGTGGGGGCAATAAGATGACTTTGTATAAAAATATACAAAAAGTATGAAGGCTATTGCTTAACGCATTGTAAGCCGCCCTGAGTCTCCGGAGAAGGGCGGCATATAAATCAAATAATAATAATAAAAAAAATTAAGTGTGCATGGTGTGACACCTTGAAGCTGCACCACCGATTTTTATTTGCAGGAGTTGGGGAGGTCGACGTGAGGTTGTAAAATATGAGCTTTCCACTCTTCTGTTTTAATGCTTCTTGACCTCAACAACTTGAAACTGTGGGGACTTCAACACCCAGAATTCCCCCAGCCAAACATGAGCAGCTGGGGAATGCTGGGAGTTGAAGCCCACGCAGCTTCAAGTCACCAAGGTTAAGGAGCATTGGTCTATGCAATGACTCCTCGGAGAAAGGACAAACGCTGCCCCGCTTTTTCAGATAAATCTCAGATCCTACAAATCTTTGCGCAGGCCTACTTTAGAATCAGCAATGCTTCCCCAGTTACCATGTGGCCCTCCAGATTTTCAGTGGGAAAACCAGAATCAAATCCAGCAGTAGCCACAGCGTTGATTGTTGTTAGTTGTGAAGTCATGTCCGACCCATCGCGACCCCATGGACAACGTTCCTCCAGGTCTTCCTGTCCTCTACCATCTTCTGGAGTCCATTGAAGCTCACGCCGACTGCTTCAGTGACTCCATCCAGCCACCTCGTTCTCTGTCGTCCCATTCTTCTTTTGCCCTCCATCGTTCCCAGCATTAGGCTCTTCTCCAGGGAGTCCTTCCTTCTCCTTAGGTGGCCCAAGTATTTGAGTCTCCTCTTCAGGATCTGGCCTTCTAAAGAGCAGTCAGGGTTGATCTCCTCTAGGGCTGACCGGTTTGATCGCCTTGCAGTCCAAGGGACTCGCAGGAGTCTCCTCCAGCACCAGAGTTCAAAGGCCTCCATTCTTTGACGCTCGGCCTTCCTTATGGTCCAACTTTCAGAACCATATATAGCCCCATAAAGTCAAGTTGGTTTGATTAAAGCTCAGCCTATAATTCTATCAGATCATCACATACATCCTGACTTAGAACACAGGGTCGGAAGGGACCTTGGAGGTCTTCCCCTGCTCGAGCAGGATACCCTGTCCCACTTCAGATAAACGGTTGTCCGGTCTCTCTTTTTGGAAGTCTCCAGTGATGGAGCCACAACTTTTGAAGGCTCTTAGGAAATTACTCCTTAGTTCTAGGTTGCTTCTCTCCTTGGTACGTTTCCATCCATTTTTTTTCCACGTCTTGCCTTTGGGTGCTTTGGAAAATAATGTGACCCCCCCTCGTCTTTGTAGGAGTCCCTCAAATATTGGAACACTGCTGCCATGTCTCCCTGAATCATGACTTTTAACCATGCCAGGCGGACACCCCAACTCTGGATAACTTTCCTAAACCCGAGCCAATAAATCCAAGCATATGTTCCGATTTCTCCCCACCTCCCTCTCAAATACTCTGTTCTTGTATAAATAGGGCTAAAAGACGCTATTCGTACTCTCTTCCCAACAAAAGGGAATCGAAGATGCCTTTACAAAAATCTTTTCCGCTGAAACAAAACTTTTGGAAAGAAACAAACCCCCGATGAACTTGATTTATAGCTCCGGCAGATTTCCTTCGCAATCCCGTCACTATGGAACTATTTTAACCTTGTGCTATTTAAGGAAAGCTTGATTCCTTTGGCTCTTCTCTAAGCGCTCTTCCAGCCTGCAAAAAAAAATTCATTCGCTGTTTACTTTCACCCATTGTCCAAAAGACAGTAGATCATTCTCAGCAATGCCAGGCCCAAGAGAAAAGAAAAGCAATTCTGCGTATTTCTGTTTTCAGCCGTTTAAGCAGCCATCTCTGTCCTACGGGCCGTGTTCATTTTTTTGAGTTGTTTATTCGTTTTCACGGCGCCTGCCGTTTGAATCAAACAAGCAGAAACTTTAGCAAAAAAAACACCAACTTTTTTTTAAAGCGAAGAACGGCAAGAAAAACGAAGAGTGTTTGAAAGAGACGATCCTCACTCTTTCACTCCTATGTGTAACGTGCATACACTATACCAGAAACTACTTTGCACTTCCCTATTAAACCATGTTTTAATTACCGGTACAAAGTACTAAATAAAGATAAAAGGCTGATCTACTCAAAACCTCTAAGCCACAAATCACACAGGCTAGGTTGATATATTTTTTTGCCAAACCACCGTTTTCAAATGTGGAAACTTTTCAGAAGGGGGTGGACTTCAGCTCCCAGAATTCCTCCGCCAGCTATATCTGCCCCAACTATAAATCAAGTTCGTTGGGTTTGCTTCTCTTGCCAAAAGTTTTCTTTCAGCTAAAAGCTATGCCGGCTGGGGAATTCTGGGAGTTGAAGTCCACCGGTCTGAAAAGTTTTCCATATTTGACAACCCACTATGCTAACTCATCCTGGGATGAGGGTTGGTTTTAACTCAAAATTCTGCAAATCCAGCCTTTGCGGATTATCTATCCTAGCTGGGCAACGGAGCCAAGGGCAAGCAAGCCATGGTTTAGCTAGCAGAAGGGGGAGGCTTCAGAGACCTTGAACCAAGCCAGCATTGGCAGTTTTCCAAGCCTCCAAAAAGTCAATCAAGCCCCCTCCCACAACTGTCAAAACCTTTCACTGCATGTTTTTTTTTTTAAATTTGATTTATATGCCGCCCTTCTCCGGAGACTCAGGGCGGCTTACAATGCGTTAAGCAATAGCCTTCATACTTCTGTATATTTTATACAAAGTCAGCTTATTGCCCCCACAAACTGGGTTGAATCCACTCAATGGGAGGAAAGCGCCTTTTCCCTCCAGTCACCCAACTCAAGAGCCTCAAATTCAGCAACCGTCCCCCCGCACCCCCCAACCCTAAGAAATTCAGGTCGTCTCAAAGCGGAGCATTCCAGGATAATAAGCCTCCAAGGCCGTGTCCAGAGCTCCATCATCTCAGCCGGGGGTTTAAAAATAGAAAGCGAAGGAGGAGGAGGAGGAGGAGGAGGAAGAGGAGGAGGAGGAGAAGCCAGGAGGAGCTTTTCCCTAAAACCCAGCAGGACGAGCACGGGGGCGCCCGGTTGCAAAAGCGACGGCCGCTTTGGAAATCAAAGCCTTCTTCGCCCCATCTCCCACCTCCCCACTTTCCGCTTAATCTCCGGGGTTTTCGTTGGGTGGGGTGGGGGTGGGGGGGAGAGAGGGAGGAAAGGTTGGGAGCTTGAGCGGCCACCTTTGCAGCCCACCCACCCCCAGCCTTGCTGAGAGCCCCCTCCTCCCCTTTCTTGGCTTAATCAAGCCCCCTCCCCCATATCCCACCCCCATCGGGGAAGGGCTTGCAAAACGCCCCCCACCCAACTCTGATGGGTTTGCCGGATCAGCAGCAACGGTGGGGGGCTCTTGCCCTGGCAGGTGGCGAACAAAAGACGACCCCCTCCCCAATTGCTAGGAGCCAGGGAAGGGGGGAGAGGAAGGGAACCCCGGGAATGGGGAGAGGGGGGGGTCTCCACTCCAGCCTTCTTTCTCCTCCGGGCCGGAGCTCCTTACCGTTCAAGCGGACGGTGAACTGCCTCCGCTTCCGATCGTGCTCCACCTGGATGGGGAAGCCGCCGGGCTCCAGCAGGTTGAGCGGAGCCGCCTGCGCCATGGAGGAGCTCCCTACCCCCCTGCACCCCCCCGTGCCTTCCTCGGCCCCGGCCGCTTCGCCTTTGTCCGCGCCTGGTGGGGAAGGGCTCGGAGGGGAAGCCCGGGCAACGACCACCGAGAGCCTGGAATTGGGGTGGGGGTCGCCCCCCAATACGGATCGATATAAATCCTGGGCTGCGGGGAAGCGATCCGGGCGCGGCTCTCCGGCCAGGAAACTTCGTAAAAATGGGAAGAGTAGGAAGAAAAAAAAAAAAAAAAGAAAAAAGAAGAAAGAAAAAAATAATAATTAAAAAAAAAAGAAAAAAGAAATCTCCGGCCGCGAAGCCCGCCCTGGGCGACAGGAGCCGAAGCAGCCGAAGAGATCAAAGGCAAAGGGATAAAAGCGCAGGAAATCAGCTGTGGGCTCACGTGGCCGGCGGGCGGCCAATGGGAGGCCGGCGCTTTTGTTTTGATACATTCCGTTCCATTCTTAAAGGAGACGCGTTTCTCTGCTCTGGCTTTTCCTTTGGGGGGGGTCGCTTCTCGGAGGGCTTGTTGGGACGGTGGGTGGGGGGGAGGGAGGGACGGCTGGGGCTGGAAAAGGTGGGAAGGAAAGTTAGGTATCTTTAGTTTTCATTTTTTAAAAGATAGATAGATAGATAAATAGATAAATAGATAGATAGATAGATAGATAGATAGATAGATAGATAGATAGATAGATAGATAATAGGTGATAGATTAGATAGATAAATAGATAGATATAGATAGGTAGGTAGGTAGGTAGATAGATAGATAGATAGATTGATAGATAGATAGATAGGTAGGTAGGTGATAAATAGATAGGTGATATGTGATAGATAGATAGATAAGAGATAGATAGATAGATATGATAGATAGATGATAGATAGATAGATAGATAGATAGATAGATAGATAGATAGATAGATAGATAGGAGATAGATAGATAGGAGATAGATAGATAGATAATATAGATAGATAGATAAGAGATAGATAGATAGATAGATAGATAGATAGATAGATAGATAGGTGATAGATAGATAGATAGATAGATAGATAGATAGATAGATAGATAGATAGGATAGATAGATAATTAGGTAGATGATAGGTGATAGATAGATAGGTGATAGGTGATAGATAGATAAATAGATAGATAGATAGATAGATAGATAGGAGATAGATAGATAGATAGATAGATAGATAGATAGATAGGTGATAGATAGATAGGAGATAGATGATAGGTGATAGATAGATAGATAAGAGAATAGATAGATATATGATAGATAGATAGATAGATAGATAGATAGATAGATAGATAGATAGGGAGATAGATAGATAGATAATAGGTGATAGATAGATAGATAGATAGATAGATAGATAGATAGATAGATACATAGATAGATAGATAGATAGATAGATAGATAGATAGATAGATAGATAGGAATAGATAGGTAGGATAGATAGGTAGATAGATAGGTGATAGATAGATAGATAGATAGATAGATAGGAGATAGATAGATAGATAGATAAGAGTATAGATAGATAGATAGATAGATAGATAGATAGATAGATAGGAGATAGATAGATAGGTAGATAGATAGATAGATAGGTGATAGGTGATAGATAGATAGATAGATAGGAGATAGATGATAGATAGATAAGAGATAGATAGATAGATAGATAGATAGATAATAGGTGATAGATAGATAGATAAATAGATAGATAGATAGATAGATAGATAGATAGATTAGGTGATAGATAGATAGGAGATAGGTGATAGGTGATAGATAGATAGATAAGAGATAGATAGATAGATAGAATAGATAGATAGATAGATAGATAGATAGATAGATAGATAGATAGATAGATAGATAGATAGGAGATAGATAGATAGATAGATAGGTAGATAGATAGAGATAGATAGATAGATAGATAGATAGATAGATAGATAGATAGATAGATAAATGATAGATAGAAAGATAGATAGATAGATAGATAGAGATATAGATATGTCGATGCGTCTTTTTGTATGTTTCAATGGTTTAAAAGGCATTGCGCGGATGATGTTACCTAGTTTGGTAATAAAACGTCTTGCAACAAAACCATCAAACTCACAGGGCACCAAGGACTCTACAGTCGTCCTCCTCCTCCTTCCTCCTCCCTCCTCCTCCACAAACCCCACTCCCTTTTAGCACTGATGATATTACCTAGTTTGGTAATAAAAGGTCTGCATGAAAACCATCAAGCTCAGAGGGCACCAAATTCTGAGGGGAATTCTGGGAACTGAAGTCCAAAGGGCTGACAAGGAATTCTGGGAGTTGAAGACGAATATCTTACATTTGCAAGGATGAGAAACACTGTCTGTAGGGTATGATTTGTTCAAACACTGTTTTTTGTTTTTTTTTCTGTTTTGAAGGGTAAGCCACCCAGACTTATTCAAAACAGCTAGTAAGATGAAATAATAATAATAATAATAAAATAATAAAAGATAAGAAGAAGAAAAAAGAAGAAGAAGAAGAAGAAAGAAGAGAAGGAGAAGGAGAAGGAGAAGGAAGAAAGGGGAAGGAAGGAGGAAGGAAGAAGGAAGGAGAAGGAGAAGGAGAAGGATGAGAACCTAGGACGCTGGCAGCAACTGGTATCAACCATTAGCACCAGTCAAGGGTATTTATGACACATTTTTAAATGTTCAGTTGATCCACCATGTCTCAAGACCTAAAATGGACACCCAACATCAAAAACGTCATCAAAAAAGCACAACAAAGAATGTTCTTTCTGCGCCAACTCAGGATGCTCAAACTGCCCAAGGAGCTTCTGATCCAGTTCTACAGAGGAATTATTGAATCTGTCATCTGCACCTCCATAACTGTCTGGTTTGGTTCTGCAACCCAACAAGGCAGACACAGACTTCAGAGGATCATTAGAAGTGCAGAAAAAACAAGGCTACCAACCTGCCTTCCATGGAGGACCTGTCTACTGCACGAGTCAAAAAGAGGGCTGTGAAAATATCTACAGACCCCTCGCATCCTGGACATAAACTGTTTCAACTCCTACTCTCAAAACGACGCTATAGAGCACTGCACACCAGAACAACTAGACACAAGGACAGTTTTTTCCCGAACGCCATCACTCTGCTAAACAAATAATTCCCTCAACACTGTCAAACTATTTACTAAATCTGCACTACTATTAATCTTCTCATTGTTCCCATCACCCATCTCCTTCCACTTTTGACTGTATGACTGTAACCTTGTTGCTGGTATCCTTACAATTTATATTGACTGTTTCCCTATGACTATCATTAAGTATTGTACCTTATGATTCTTGACGAATATATCTTTTCTTTAATGTACACTGAGATCGTATGCACCAAGGCAAATTCCTTGTGTGTCCAATCACACTTGGCCAATAAAGAATTCTATTCTATATAAATATAAAGGCTATAGGCTTGGAATTTTGGGGCGGATTAACCAGCTCTAATCTTGCTTAGCTTGTTTCAAGACAAGTCAAACTTGGTTAGGTGCTGCCAGAAATGGGTGGGGGTTTATTTATTATTTATTTATTGAATTTGTATAGCCGCCTATTTCTCCCATGGTAACTCAAGGCGGCTTACAGAATAAGTTAGGTTTAGGGTTATTCTAAAATTGACAACAAAGGGAGGGAAGAACCGGGGCAGGCAACGGAAAGGAAGGAAAACATGTACGTTTGTGGAGATTATTATAGTATCCGCTCCTTGGAAGGATCAGATTTTTAATGCTCTGAGCATTTTGTCAGGAAATACGGCCTGCCCTGGTACCATTGTATGAGTTCCTGCCAGAGATTAACTGAAAGAAACACAAAGATTAGAAAATATGACTCATCACCGCAACCGATTCTAAGAAGCAAATCAGAATTAGGAAGGCAGAAGCTTGGCTGAAATTTTTTGTCACCTCTTGAATTCGCTTTTTACTGATTCTGTGACTTATACGACTACTGTAATAATCACAGGGGACAGATTTGCACGGCCCACCTAGCCGCAAATGAGGTCAAATGCCATTTTGGCTTCTTGAGCTGGACTTGGGAGAGGAAAGAGAAAACTGGAGAGACACAGAGAGAGAGAAAGAGAGAGGGAGATGGGAGGGAGGGAGGGAGAGAGAAGTGGAGACTTCCAATTTTTTTCAGTGTGGTAAAATATATATTAAAAAATATAAGACCACAGCTTTTTGATTATATATATATATATATATATATATATATATATATATTTATGTATTATGTATGTATGTATGTATATATTATGTATAAATTTGATTTATATGCCGCCCTTCTTCTCCGAGACTCAGGGCGGCTTACAATGTGCTCAGCAATAGCCTTCATCCTTTCGTATATTTATACAAAGTCAGCTTATTGCCCCCACAAACTGGGTCCTCATTTTACCTACCTTAGAAAGGATGGAAGGCTGAGTCAACCTTGAGCCTGGTAAGATTCGAACCTGCAGAGATTGCAGGCAGCTGGTCTTAATAACAGGGTGCCTTAGACCACTGTACTACCAAGGCTCTTTTTATATATCTCACAACATACACTTCAAGCCTTTTTCGTAATGTCAAAAGCTATCCAATCATCAAAAAAATGCATGCACGCCAAGTTTCCACACGAACTTTTCGACACTCAGTGCCGAAAAGGTTCTCCATCACTGTTATGGAATATAGAATGACAGAGTCGGAAGGGACCTTGGAGGTCTTCCCATCCAACCCCCTGCTCAAAGCAGGAAACCCCGTACCATTTCAGACAAAAACTCCCAGTGTTAGAATTAGAATTAGAATTCTTTATTGGCCAAGTCTGATTGGACACACAAGGAATTTGTCTTGGTGCATGTGCTCTCAGTGTACATAAAAGAAAAAAAATATGTTCATCAAGTGTTGAAGCATTAACAACTTCTGGAGGTAAGTCATTCCACAGATTAATTAAGAGCCTTGGTAGTACAGGGGTTTAAGGCACCCTGTTATTAAGCTGGTTATTAAGACCAGCTGCCTGCAATTACTGCAGGTTCGAATCTCGCCAAGGCTCAAGGTTGACTCAGCCTTCCATCCTTTCTAAGGTAGGTAAATTGAGGACCCAGTTGTGTGGGGCAATAAGCTGACTTTGTATAAATATACAAAAGGATGAAGGCTATTGCTGAGCACATTGTAAGCCGCCCTGAGTCTTCGGAGAAGGGCGGCATATAAATCAAATTAAATACAAATACAAATACAAAATTGTTCTAACTGTCAAGAAGCCTTGGTGCACCAAGGAGCCTTGGTGGCGCAGCAGACTAAAGTGCTGTTAAGTAGCACCAGCTGCCTGCAATTACTGCGAGTTCAAATCTCAGCAGGCTCAAGGTTGACTCAG